GCTTCAAAGTATTGACCATATGTATCTTTTTTTTTTTTTCTCCTAATTTTGTTAAGAGAGGTTCTTCTTTTTACTGCAGGAAGGAGAATCTAAAGACTTGAAATTCAGTTGTTGAGGCTTCTAAGTGCTCCTTTCATACAGCCAGTGTTCCAGAAGGGCCCTGATGGAGGAGTCAGGACTGGACACTGAACAGAGGGGCCCTCCTATGCCTTCAGAGAGGTGAGACCCTAATGAGACACACACTACTTAGGTGATATTTCCAACTATGGGTTTGTGCCAAAATGATAATGATTCATAAATACTGTAACAGTTGGTGACAAATGATTTGAAAAGTGTCAGATGTCCTGGGCCCAGGTAGATAGTGACATATCCTTTATCCTTTTATTCCTCTTCAATAGTTCATCCAGTGTTTCAAAGCCACATGATGGGCCAAGGCCACAAAACACCTCCAGTGCTTGCTTGGCTTTCATTTAGATTTGCTTAAAATCTGGAGCACTGGAAGGTGTGTGAGGTGCTGCGGGTGGTAAGCGGGCTGTTGTGGCCACACAGTGTGGGCTTCGGGTTCTGTGCTGACCCAGCCTAGCTTTTTTTATGTTCTGGTTAGGGCAGAGGGACTGATGGCTCAGGAAGACTGTGATCTGACCTTTCCAGTATGTTTACCACAGGTGGGATCGCCCCCCGCCCCCAATAGTTGGAAAAGTAATATGCATTTAAATCTCTCTAGGCATTTTTAGGAAATCACCATACTGAGAGGAGAATAGTTTTCAGCTCATCTTCACAGGCACCATGTCTATGTCACTGGAGAAGGATCCAGAAAAGAGGGAGTCTGCGTCTGGTTTTGAAGTCCCTTAGTGATGGTTGGCAGAGAGAAAGAAGATCCCAGGTCTGAGAGCCAGGTGCTGGTCTCCACTGAACATACCTGTGGAACAAAGTAGGTGTCTGCAGGCACCTCCTGTCCAAAAAGCTAGATGCTGTCCTAGCCCAGTCACTCCCAGCTGCAGCAGTCCTCCCACTCAGCAGCTGGCCCTAGACCAACGGTGATGAACCTATGGCATGCGTGCTGCAGCCGGATGTTTGTTATCATTGAAAGCTCTAAAAGTTTCACCATTACTGCCCTAGACTCTTTTTGTTTTGAATAAGAGCATTTATCAAAACAAGAGCCCAGAAGCCTACCAGGACAGTTGGTCCGGACGGGCAGCACCTGTCACCACAGCTTGGTTTATTCTGCACTCTGAGTGACTCATCAACCAGGAGGTTGGGAAGGACAATGCCAACACATTCCCAGGCATGTTTCCTTCACGCTAGCTCCATTTTATTGGAAAGAACTACTCTAGCTAAGGCATTGGAAGCCACAGTTGGTGATGGAGGCTGAACACACCTAATGAGACAACAGGAGTGACCACTTAGTAACATGGAGAGTCCCATTGGACAAGTGTGTCCTGGATGCGCTGGGGTGGACATGATGGCCTAAAATACATGCAGGCAGCAGGGTGGTCCATCTAGCTTCCATGTGCTTTCAGCATAACTGGCACTAGGTATTCCTCTAAATGGTCTGTGATCCCTTAGGAAACTTGCTGAGCCACAATATGTGTTTTCCCATTTCATCATTACCTAGTAAATACGTGAAAAGTTGGCACAGTGCTTTAGAAAAAACTGGAGTAATACTCCTGTTTTGACCTACAGAGTTCTCATTGGTCATTTTTCTTCACTTTTGTCTTTTAAAATTTTTTTTTTTTTGTCTTGAGACAGGTTCTCATTAAGTTGCTGAGGCTAGGTTCAAACTCGCAGTCCTGTCTCAGCCTCTCAGAGGGCCAGGATCACAGGTGTGCAGCATTACACTCAGCTTGTCCATGTTTGTTATGTTCTAAAGCCTCTGTTGAACCCACTCTGTTTTGCTTGAGGATGGCCAGACCATTGTTCCACTCCATGGGAGAATGGCCAGAGCTGCTTACAGCCAGTTTTAGCAGCAGAGTTATTAGCGTTTATGTTTTAATTACTGTCTTCCCAACACATATATGGGACTATATTAGGAAGAGGCTGATACTTAAAAATTATAAAACAGCTCCTTTTTCAAGGTGGTTTTTTTTTTTTTTAGAGAATAAAGCAGTTTAAGAGAGATTGCAGTATTACTATGTGGCCCCATGAAAACTTTTTCTCTATAAAAGAGCCATAGGATGAGAGACACAGAGCCTCAGTTCTGCCTGCATAGCTGCTAATCAGAGCAGTTGCCAAGTCAGTCCCAGTCCCCAAACTGGTGTCTCTGGGAGAAAGTCTCTGTGGGCTTGCATCTTGGATGTACATCAAACCCCTGCCTGCAAGCTGCAGAGCCTAGGGTAAGCCCTTGGCACTGGAGATGGCCTGCCTTGCTCTCTAGATTTCAGTAAAAATGGGTATTTTCTCTGCCTCTTTGAATTACAGAACAGGTTCTTGGCAGCGTTAAACTGAGCTCTGTGGAGACAGAGACATTAGGTCTTGAAGCCCTCAGTCCATGAGGCTGTACCTAAGGGACAGTGGGTAGCTTAAACTCTATGGGCTCTTACTTCATAGAAAAATAAATACCCTGGGGGCCAAAACCTTTCCGTGCTGAAGAGACAGACGAGTGACCTGAGGTACAGGGCTAGATATGGGGAAGAGGATGAGATTCCTTCCTGGGGCACCAGGGGAGGAGCAGGATCAGGTCTCCTCTGCACATTTTCTCCACAGAGATCTCAAATGACTGATGAGAAAGCTGTCAGGATTTTTCCCCAGCACACTACATTCCCTTGAGTCCTAAAGCAATTTTTAAAACCACCAACTGTTTAGCTCTTCCCTAGAATTTCTCTGACCTGGCACCAGGGGCACTGGCAAACAACCTGTTAGCTTCTCCTGTTTACTACAAGAACAGTTAAGAAAAATATAGACTATCTGGGAACCCCTTTTAAGTCCCCGGTATTGGGACTGTGTGTGTTCGAATGTAGATAATCTGTCATATGGGAGATGACAAGGAGAAAAATGAACACCAGGTAATTGCTGAGCAGTTTTGAGGAGTGGCAACATGGAGGCAGCTCTCTCGTCCTTCATCTCATTTATTCAGTGCTTTAGGATTCTCAAAGTGTGTCTCTTGGCCCTTGTGACAAGACAAGAGGTGGCCTGAGAGGTAGGATGACTTGCCCGGATCTTACAGCACGAGCTACTGAGGTCTGCAGGTGAACCGTATGACCTGGCTAAGACAGGCCCTCCAACAGCCTCGCTCAGGTCCCCAGCTGAGGTCCCCTGCCTCAGGACCTCACTGAGGTCCCTAGAATCCAAGGTCAGTCTGCCAGGCACTCACACACACCTAGCACCTCTGAGTGCCCTGCCTGTCTGCGAAAGTCACACCCAGGCTTGTGCCTGTGGAGTTCTGTACTCACACTGGGCTCTAGGCAGGTGGGCAGATGCACTGGGCCCATTACCACCATGCCAGTGAGTGTATACTCAGGTTCTTTGATACTGTCCCACAAGCACACTGGAATATGTTCCTTTTCCACTTCTGCAGACTCAAATTCATTTGGATTGATGATACATTATTGTCCCATAAGCTGAGAGAGCTCTAGCCCTCTTTTAACTCCTTGACTTGTCTAAATCTATCATGCCTAGTAAACACTCAGTGGAGCAAACACCTGAAAACATGACTCAGAGTGTGATGTGCCTTTGGTGAGCTGTTTGGTGAACTCCACAGCAAAATAGGACATTTATACCAGGTATTGTATAGCTGCACACAAAGAGAAAGATACCTGTTCACTGTCATCAGCATCTCGGCCTAAGAGGACACACTACCCAGTATTTATAGTTAACATCACTGCCCTTTTTTCCCTCCTTGTTTTGAATGTGGCCTTGTTGGTGACTACAGTCTGCAGAAGTCCTCCCCACTGACCATCATTACCAAAACCACACAGGCAGAACTCTTCAGTGGTGTAAAATGGGAGCCTGGTGGGTGCTCAGAAGAGGACAGCCCAGGGAACCCAGTCACAGAAGGATCCAACTCCTTGGCAGCTGCACACCAGCATATATGCTGGGGAAGGGAGAAGTATCTTTATCAATGACCTCGTGCTTGCTCTGAGGGATCCAGCTTCTGCCATCACTCCTGAGCTGAACAGGAGGTGCAAGATCATCTCACAAATAGCTACAGAATGCATAGGCTTTATTTTTATGTTTTCTCACGTTCAGTTTTAAGATCAGCTTCTTTAGGGAGTTGAGTGGATCTTCAGGACTTAAGTGATCTACTCTATTTTGGTGAGATAGAACCAGACCTGCCTTGGGAGTCCCCTGTGTGGTATCACAGGGAAGCACTCAGCTGTCTCCCAGCACCTGCCCTCACCTGCCTGCTGCCTTTCCCCCACTGCTTCAGGGCCCTCACATCCAGTTCTTGCCAGGGGGCATCACTGTTGGCATGCCCTATAATGGGCAGCCATCTCGTGCAGGCCACCTCATCCCAGGCTCCCGACAGGCCCTGCCAAGAGCTCAGTCCATCACTGCTGCCTTCTGGAATGCCCAAGCCCAGGGGAGCGGGTAACAGGAGGGTGGAGTGGTCTGACTATACATACACCACAGATGACCCAGACAAACACTTTAATTTGTTTTTGGAGGCATAATTTAGTCATCTTACCTAAAGCGCTTTTCACTCTGGCAATCAAGGGTTACAGAAGATGCAGCACCAAAGGGTGAGGGGAACATGTCCCTCCTGTTCCCCAGCCCTGCCCTCCCCTGCAGCCATATACCCTTTGCACTGTCACAGGGCCAGGCTCACACAGCTGCACAGCCATTACACACGTGTGTGCAACTGAAAAGAAAGAAAACCAACACCCACTAAATCACACGGGAAAAAGATTTAAGAGCGTCTTCCTCCCCATCTGATTCTGAGAGCAAACTCTGTGGCTGGAGAGGCTGTGACTTCCACATCCCAGCCTCCATCATTGTGTCCAACTAGGAAGGCTATGCAGAGGCCACCAGTTCCCCCAAGGTTCCCTTTGGAGGTAACATACCCCCGAGTCAGTCACTCTGCTTATGTCTGTTATCACTGTTGCCATAGGCAGAGCCCTTGTCAATTTCTGTCACGCCGATCATCCATCGAACTCCCATAGAGGCTGCAGAGACAAGGGAGGAGTAGAGTTAGGATTTTCAGCAAGATCCAGGGCCATGTGTGCGATGACAGTCGTGCAGAGGCAGCTGGCTGCAAGTCACAAGCATTGGCTGAGAGCCAGCTAATTTGGGGTGCCATTTCATAGCTCTGGTTTATAGTCTATCTAGGTGACACCTGAACAGCAAGGCTGCTCTGCTGGGCTTTCGTTCTTGGTCACTGGAGGTTAACAGAATCTGGCACGCCATATGCAACTGCTTACAAGGACTGCAAAGAATTCCTTTGTTTTCCATGTCCATTCCCAAGCAAAGAGGACTCTTCTGCAAAGCCCCAGTGGGAGTTTATAGGGTACTTGAAGTGAACCTGGATGGAGAACATACGAGAAGCCTGGAAGGGCAAGAGGTCCAGTATCAAGTATATATCAAGGACCAACCAGATGCCAACATGGGATGAGCATTGGAGCAGGGAGTGAAGTCCCCACCCTCGCTGAATGCCTTTGCTCTGAGGATGTAGACTATGACAGTCCCTATTGAAACACCAGGAAGCTGGAAAATGGAGCTGCTATGCTTAAGTTGCTGTGGGAGCTACTCCCTCTGGAGAGGGTAGGCTTGGTAAGCTCCTTGGGTGGGACCATGTGTTACTCATGCTGTACCCCATCCTGGGGTCTCACAACCACCATTTATGATAAATGTAATAATGGACAGGTAAGTTAATGAAGTCTCCCAAATCATGATGTTTATGTTAAAGCATTAGCATCAGGCTCTGTCACTCAGGTCACCTGGAGCAGATTAGGGCAGGAGCATAGTGGATGCACAGAACCTATAGGTTGATTAAAGTGAGGAGACCTGTCCCAGTCCTAGAACTCCCAGGTAAGACCTCATTAGCAGTGAAAATATTGCCGAGAATAAGGAGGTGAGTGTAATGTGGACTCTTGCTCAAAGGCTGTATGAGAAATGAGGCATAAATAAAGCCATTCTGGTGAAAATCAGGAAGTCTCAGGCTGGAGGGTGATGCAGCATGAGTGTATGGGGCTAGGGGAGACAGCTCTGCACCCAGTACACACCCGGAGCCCTTTCTTTTGGTTTGGTTTTTTTTTTTTTTTTTTTGGTACCGGGGATTGAACTCGGTCCCTTGCGCTTGCGCAGCAGGCAGCAAAACCACTGAGCTAAATCCCCTGCCCTGCCAGCCTCTTCTTTATTAAGGAGCTGTGTCTGTCCCTGGGAGGGCAGGGTCTTTGTCAACCTTCCTGCTGTTCGAAGCAGAGCCACGGTATGTCTCCAACCTCCTGGGGCTCTGGCAGCTGGAGCTTCTAGGACCTGGCCAGCCTCTACCCAAGCACTTGGTGGTGGTGGTGGGGTGGGGCAAGGAGCTCCTTGATCCTGTCTCTGGGAAGTGAGGTGTCTTCCCCTCCATCCTTGTACATTTTTTTCTCTATAAGGAGTGGGTATTATTTTAAGTTTCATAACTTTAAAATTATCTTTTCTTTTAGAAAAGACCATAGTGGTTCCTGTTATAGGGATGACAACCAGTTTGCCTGTTAGAACCATAGAATCTAGAATTGGCTAGCTTGACCCAGGAGACAGGTTTATGTCTTGTGATGTGTTTAGGTGGTCTTGACTGACTAGGGGAAATCGAGTTAAGGAAACTCCACCTACATGGCTTTACCTCTGAATAGATGTTTGAGAATGCAACAGTGTATATCAGGCTGTCAAGAATGATTCTTTCAGGGGACTGGATCCCAGGAGGCTATGCCCTGAGATATTTTCCATTTTGTGTATTTTTGTATGGTTTGGGTCTCTGACAGCACAGAGCATCTTTTTGTTTCTCAGGAGTAACTGCAGAGCACACACAAAGCTGTGCATCCTTGGACTCTGCCATACTCCATCTTGGAAGAGCAGACAGATTGCCCACTCTCCAAAGCCCCAGGAGAAGACCCAGCCTCTGGGGGACAGGGACATTCAGCTCCCATTTCTCTCACCTCCAATAAGCACGGAGCAAAAGAGGAACAGTGACCTGACAGCCCTACCTCAGAAAGGAGCAGGAATATGCACATAGGCTCAGCATGCAGAGGAAACATCAGTGGTGGGAAATGCTGCCAAACCAAGCCATTTCGGATAATGGAGACAGAGTCACTGAGCATCCCCATCCCATGTCAGTCTGCCACGTCAGTCATCCCACATCATGGGAAGGCACTTAGGGGAGAGGTGGCTAGAGTGCTGGAGCTCCAGCTAGGGATTCCCCTGGGAAGAGGAGGGAGTAATCTGAGGGAGCTGGTCTGTCTGCAGAGGATGGGACAGGACTCTTGTCTGGGGAGAAGGGTAGGGTATAACCACTTCATTGCCATCCTAAGGGAAGACAGAACTGGAGGTCTGGTCAGAAGCTGCATTTGCAGACTGTGAAAGACTTTCCAGCCCGGGCACCTAGGAGTCCCCTGGGAGTCCACTGGCCTACACCGGGCTTGGTCTTGCCTCTGCCCTGCCCATGCTAGTCACTTTCCCTGCAGCAGACGGAACCACTGCCCCACTTTGAGCCCTCCACTCACCCATACAGAAGACAACGATGAAGCTGGCCAGAGTTACGGAGGAGCCACTGCTAACCATGCTGACCAGAAACCGGAAGAAGGGGTAGAGCAGCAGTGAGGCCCAGAACAGCCAATTGAGCAGCGCCCAGGGCCGCCGTGGGGGGACCTTGGGGGTCTCTGGGAAGACTCCTGTCCTGTAGTATTCCTCTTGAAAGGCATCCTGAGGGCAAAGGAGGGGACCCTCAGACATGACTCTACACTCAGTGGCCAGACCCTCTGAAGGACCCGCTTTTCGAAGAGCTCAGAGACCAATGGGGCCGCTCTGGTTCTGGCAGAACCTTACAGGAAGTACTTTGCAAACAGCTACCATGTCTTAGTGTGCTTGGCTGTCTCCTTCCTATGAGTCACACAGAGAAGCAGCTACCACTGTGTGCAGGAGGGACAGGCATAGGCCATACCTACCTGACTGCAGGTGCCCAGCCTGAGCCAGGCTCCCAGGCTGTCAAACAAGATGGTGATTGCCTCCCAAACCAGTTGTAGGAGAATGAGATGAAATGCTGCACTGCATCTGGCCCGAAGCTGATGCCCTATTGAGTGGCCTACCCAGACCCAGCTTAGATCACACGCTGCAGTCATTCAGGCTTTCAACACATAAGTTCTTGGCCATTCTCTTGTGGCAAGCCACCACCACCCATCCCTGTCTGCTGCCTGGGAGCTTCCTGGGGACCTGGTTCTCAAGGCTGCAGAGATGATGAAGGACTGTGGGGTCACAGGTTGTTGCACTCAGGAGCTGACAGAGCACACTCTGGACTAATGCTTCCAAAGGTATGTCCCTTTGAAGAGAAGTCAGTGAATGCTAAGGCCCTGATGAGAGTGAGGAAAAAACAGGTAGGGACCCCTGTGGAGCTGAACCACAAATAGGCTCAAAATGAGCCAAGACCCTGTGATCCTCATAGGGCTCCATCTTGGTGATGTTTTTAGATCAGAGAGTCAACCAACCTGTTGAAACAAGCATTTAAGACCATGTCTATTGCAAAAGAAAGCATCACAGGAGCATTCTGCCTTAGGGCCACCAGTGGGAAAACATCGCTGCTGGGCCGTTACTTCCTCTTTAGTCCACCATACTCATAAAATAGCTTCATTCTTTCCTTAAAGCTCCTGTAAAAATATATATTGCTACGCTCTTTGCCCTATTGCCAAATAGAACATCTACCGCAAGATCACCAGTAAAACGGATCCATGAAATCTCACCAGATAGGAAAGGCTTATTACCATGCTCAGACCCTAGTGGCCACATGGTGCATCCACAACTGTGGCATGAAAAAGATTACTGAAGCTCTGATACACTCACCTTTTCCTGGTAGAGCTTGTGGAGCCAGGCCGAGCACTGGTCATCATCATCTGGGATGTCTTCCATTGGAATCCGCCTGCAAAGGCAGAGGGCAGCTAGCAAGGGAGGCCACACCAGACAGCCAGCTGCAGTTTCAGTGTGACAGTGATGGCCATCCTGGGGTTTTAGCTAGGTACCCTAAACAATGTTCACATGGGGAAAGCAAGTAGATGGATAGAAGCCGAAATTCGGCTGGCCTGGGCAGGGTCAGGCAAGAGCCTGACTCTGGCACAAAGACATTGTTGATACCAGGTCTGATTTCACCTCTCCCACCTCATGGGAAGGCTCCCAAATCTGATGGCTAGAGAAGGCTGATGCCTCGGTTGTCACATGAGTTGATATATGCAGAATCTATTCTATATGATTGAAAATACAGTGAATATTTAAATTTTAAAATTTATTGCATTAAAAGATACATGACCATCAATCCTCCTCAAAATATTTCCCCCTCACTTCACATACACTTATTATTCTTGCCACTTTCTGAAGTGGTGCTGGAAGCCCTCTTTTCTGAGTATCTTTAGTTGCATTGTCATGCTTTACTTGATGTCCTGAATGGATTGAAAACATTTCCCTTTCGTGGTCATTTTGACTTTGAGAAACTGCCAGAAGTTGCATGGTGCTAGATGTGAATGAGGTGGATGAGAACACACTGTAATGTCTTTACAAACCTGCCTTCCTGTCAGATGGCACCCAGCAGCAGCATTCACTGTATATTTTTTAAATCACACCTCATAAAGATACTCAAAAAACAGGACTTCCAGAACTGCTTCAGAAAGTGGCAAGAGCAATGGAATAAGTGTGTTTGAAGCAAGGGTGAGTATCTTGATTAATGGCAATGTGTTTTTTATTGTAATAAATATTTTAACAAACATTCATTGTATATTTTGATCACCCCTGGTGTGTAATGGAGATAGTATCCTACTAATTTCTCCAGCCAAGTAATGACTTCCTGGTAGTGGACAAGTATCTCCCATCAGATGACCTCTCTAGCCTCCTTCCTGGGCAGCACTGAGGCAGACTGCAGAAAGGGTTGGAGCAGCAAAAGATGTGCATGCTGGGCATCTAGTCCCCCAGCATAGGAGAAACCAGAGGGACTGCCCCAGGATCTTTGGCTCAAATAGAGACCCCTGGGGTGTCACTTTGCCCCCCAGGTGCCATTCACTGATTTAAATGTGGTCTCATGGATGGTGCTGTCAGGGGCATGATGCTCATCCATCTGCAAACGGCCCATCCTGAACACAGGAGCTGTGACTGCCACTCTCTTGGTGTGTGTCTCCTGTCTGTCTCTCTTTCCTCAGTCTACTGGCTCTTGTGATTTCAAGGAATATTAAGTTAGATCTGCCCTTTTTTTCTGATTTCATAATTTTTATTGACTAAGTTACAAATAAAATTACATATATTTAATGTATACATCATGTTTTAAGGTACATATATGTTTTGATAGCCAAGCATGGTGATGCACACCTGTAATCCCAGCACTCAGGAGGCTGATGCAGGAGGATTGCTATGAGTTTGAGGCTAGCCCAGGCTGCACACTGAGTTCAAGGCCAGCCTGAACTACATAGCAAGACCCTGACTTAAAAAACTTTTTAAAAAATGTTGTGAAATAATTACTACAAATTCATGAGCCTATCCATCACCTCATATGCACATACTCCTAGCAATTTTTAAACAGTGTTCTAGTTAGAAACATTTTATAATAGTACAAATCAAAAAATACTCTTAAATAGGAAAAATATGCTCAGCATCTCCCAGAAATAAAACAGTTAAGTGAACACCATTCTAGATTTCTTGTATCCCTACATTAATGAAAATTTTTAAATTGTCAATGCCACGTACACTGTTTTATAACCTGATGCTTCACTAGACAGAGTGTGTGGACACCTTTTCATCTAAATAAATTCTATAGACCTGCTTTTGTCCATGGGAAAGCTTGTGTCAGCATGATTTCCATTGGTCACTTCACTCCCTTGCTGTGCCCAGAAATATCTTATGAAGAAGAGACACTTTTAGAACTTAGCCACCACACAATAGCCTGTTGAGAGAATAGACTCGTGGAATTTCATTTTATAACATTATAATGAGCCACCACCATTAGAATAATAGCTTCCTTTTTAGGCAGTATTCTAAGTTTTTCACATAATTAAAATTTACCTCACAAGCTCCTTTAGAAATATTCTTTGACCTTTTTTTGTTCCTATATGTTTATTTCCATGAATATGCTATTTATTTCTTTGCTTTTTCTGATCTATCCCTGGTTTGCAAATCACATAAAAAAAAAAAAAGCACCTACAATCCATTTGAATGGTGGAAAATTAGGTGATTGCTCTTTTCTGTAACTTATTTGATACTATTACCCTTGATGTTTTAATACTTTGTACTGAGGTGCAGTATATACAGAGGACTGTTTCAACCACCTTAAGTGGGTCACTACAAGAAAAGATGAGTGTGGAGTGGCATAAGTAATCCTCCTCTGAGGCTGAGAGTGAACTAGCTTCGGTGAGTACCAATTCCCACATGTGCTCCAGAGAGTTGCAGTTACTGAAGAAAATTGTCTTGTGCACACTGCCAGGGTCTCGCTGGCTACTGTGTGGGGCTCCTACCAAGTGATGAAACTCAGGGGAGAAAAGCCCACTTCACCCCAGGAGAAGGGCTCCTTTTCTCCTGGTCTGCCATGCAGTTAAGTAATAAGGCAATGTGTCAACTGCAGTATTAGAAAACAGTAATAATGATGATGCGCATATATATATAACATTTGAGGGGTGTGTGAAAAAGCTAGAGTCATTTCCAGTAGGAAGCAATTTAAACTCAAGCTGTCAATCCACTAAAACATCCCTCAGGAAAGTCCAAACACCTTGTATGACTTATGTGCTCATCACCCTTGTGCTTTACTGTGGACAGCATCTTTCAGTTCTGTTTCCCACTAATCTTGGTGACATTCTGAAGACTGTTAGATTCATTGTGTAAATTAATAAACCAGTGAAAGAATTGACTTGCCTAATATCTTTGGTAAATGTTTTCAATAAAATTGGGATTAGCCTGGAATAGGAGACATAAATGAGGTACTACAGAAGTGTTCTCCATTTGCTTCTAGACCTCCTTATAAATTATATATGCTATTATCTGTGTGTCTTTCTATAGAGAAGACCCATCTTCTAAGGGGTCAATAAAATAATCTACACTCAACCTCCAAATGACTGATTATAAAATGTGATCTCTGATTATAAAAATGGTCTTTCCTTTGTCCAACATGAGCTCTGTGACAAGACTGAGCTGGTAAAAGAGGATCAGAGGACTGGGGAGGAAGGAGTGTTCCCCGGATCATTTCTAAGAGTAGGATGTGTCTCGTGAGTTTATAATATATAGACTGTAAACAAGCTCATTTCAAAACAGTCTGTGAGATGTTAACCACATGTCTGCAGAAGGAGGTCTCCAGGTCATTTCTGATTTATTTACTTAGAAATGAGCTCTCTCTTTTTGGAAAGGAAACTTACCTAACATAGCAATCAGCATGATATTTCTTTCCATTTAGGACTCCCAGCAGCGTTGGGTTTTCATTATTTCTGAAATTGAGTGTACAGTCATATACAGCTGGAACTATAAAAATAAGACAAACACAAAGCAATATATAGCTGGTGAACCCAATTCTGTTCTGTAGATACACACATTGGAAGACAATCACATCACTAGTGGATTATCTATGAATGGCTCAATTATAGATTTCTTCTTTGTGCTTTTCTATTTTATTCAGATGTTCTACATTGAACATGTATCAACTTTTGTAACCAGAAGACCCCGCTATAATCTAGTAATAGAATCCAGAGTAATTACTGAAGTCAAGTCAGGTTTTTGGGGGGGGGGGGTTTCGTACTGGGGATTGAACTCAGGTCCTTGCGCTTGCGCAGCAGGCAGCGAAACCACTGAGCTAAATCCCTGGCCCCAAGTCAGTTTTAAAGGAATATTGCAATATTGAATCTAGATATATGACACCAGTGATGTGTAGCTCTCTAATATCAGAGCCTGTCATGGTCAACAAATGCTGATATTTAAATAAATCTAAATAAAAAATCCAAAAGATATTATGTAAAGATATGTCTAAGTTACAGAAATACACCATTCTCTGGGCATCTATTTTCCCTAGAAAAACAAGACAGCTGGAAACCTGGGATAAGACACTGACTGTTAAGTCCTTAAGGAACTGAATTATAGCCCACTGAATCACAGCTGAGACAAGTATCTGTGAATTTAATGGTTCTACTCAACAGTGAGTTAACCTGTCAACATGGTGGGAGTTATGTCAAAAGTCACTGCTGTAGCCCCAGACTCTGGTTCCTACTCAAGAGTGCTTATTGGGTCAGAGATTGGAAGATTGCACTGCAAACAAGTGAGTGAAAGGAACATAGAAACATAAAGTGGAAACAGATGGCTGTCTGCTGGTGTACAGGCCAGGCACGGGCAGTAGAAAGGAGTTTTGGAGTCAGGTAGGATGTGGATGCAAAGGCTGCCTTTTCCCAGTGCAGGAGGGATGCTGCTCAGGCAGGTGGCTCAGCCCTCCAATCCTGATTCTCCTGGAGAGTGGCTTTGTGGTGCCTTCATCACACAGTAGCACTTACTAAAGGGCTCAGCACACTGTGCTCACTTATAACTTGGGCCTGTCCTTTACATGAGAGCTTTGTATGATGGAAGGAATAGGGAATGATAGGAAGGGAGGAAAGGCACTTAGTCCGGTTGGGAATATGAAGAGCCAGATTCAATAAGGATAAAATCGTCATCCATTTTAAGTTGCCTGAACCCCATGTAGGTTCTTTATCTTTGCCACTGGCAGAGGGTCCCTGCTGCTGGCCTGCAGGAATGCCTGGGGGCAAGATACCAAGTGTCTAAGACCAGCCTTGAGAGGTTGGACTGCCCTCCCTGCAGAGGCGCCAAGGTGGGTAGCATCACAGATTATAACATCACAGAATACCATGAGTGCACAGGCTGAGTGCTTGCCTCAGGCCTGGGGAAGTGTGGGAGCTCTTGACCTTTGCTCCATGAAGAAGAACGAAGAGATGAGGACAAGGCTATGAGCTGACAGCATGGCTCCAGAGGCCATGTCTGGGCCAGGGTCCAGCCTTGCCACCTCTCCCCACAGGATGGAGCTTGGCCTCTCCTCAACGTGCCTGGCATGGAAGCCCCAGGAAGGCTGTCTAACCTCGGCACTACCCCAGAGGCTCCAAAAGCTTTATCCAGGCCCAGGGGTCAAAGATCCCAGGAAGCTGGGAGTGGAAGTTTGAAAGCAGGGGTGCATGAGAGGATAAGGAAGGCTGTTTTAAACTACAAAAAGGAGGACTAAAAGGTAGGCAGAGAAGCACATGACAGGTGGCCAGAGGCAAATTGTTGCTGCTATTTTCTTGTAACCTAGAGATATAGGGCTTCAAATTCACACGTCAGCAACCAGACCATAAGTCCAGTTCATCATTTGCAGGCAGCTGATGGCAACAGATAGGCAAGAAGTACCCCAAAGTTCCAGAGGAGCTCCCTTGATCTGCACCCCTGTGGCCAGACTGACCACAAGAACCCTATGGGGTCCAGGGATCCAGAGAATAACACACAGCCCTGCAGTGACCCTGCTGAGCAGCAGAGGGCAGTGTTCGCTGGGGTGCACTAACAAGGTCTCCAGGCAGATGTACGTCTGGCCCAGCCTCAGGTTCTGGCCCAGTCCCAATTTAGCAGCCACCCCTAGCTGCTGGGCAGGAAAATAGAAAAATCTAAAGATCAGAAGATGCAGGAAACGGAGGTACAGGGAGAGTGATCATCCTTACCTACGCCTCTCAAGCACCTCACAGTGATGGCAAAGCCTTTGGTGCGCGGCAACAGATGGTGCTTGAGGCTGGGCAACCCCTTGGCTTGGGCCACCTGCATGCTGATCTGGTGCTTCTTCTCTGTGAACCGTGTGCCCTCACAGTGGATCAGGAACTGGAAGGCACAGGGTGATAGTCACACAGGGTCCCTTGCCTGACCCTGAGATCACATACAACCCTGGTCACAGGGGGTCCCACAGTCACACACACTTCTGGGGCCGCATACAACCCCAGGTCACACACAATTCTGTGTTCACTCATAGTCACACATGGTCCCACAGGAGGTGGTAGGGCCTGCTGCTCCAGGGCCCACATACAAGGTACTTCTCTGGGTAATCCCGGAGGTGCAGCAGGCTCTTGGCGACCGTCTGACGATCTTGTTCCCACTTGCGTGTGCAGAAAATCATTTCTGTGAAGTACCACATCCAGCCAATTATTGGGACATAAGCCAGCTCCTTCTTGGCTAGGACTTTGGAATTCTGAAAGAGGAAGTAGCCCAGATGTTCATGAAAGAGACAAGAGGGTCACTTCCTGTGAGTGTTGGAGATCCTAGTGGAGAAGAGTGAATGGTCACACCAAAGGCTGTAGGGATGGATCATTCAGAACACAGACCTTCCCACCATCAGCTGGAGATCCAGGCTTTGCTCATTGCTGAGCACCAGCAGGTATCTGAAAAAGTACCAGCTCCCAGCCAAGTGTACACAAGGATTTTGAGGATACTTCCACAGTCCTCAAGGCACTTCTAGATAACTGTCATCTTTTGCGGTCACTAAGCTCATTGTGCAGGTGTACAACACTAGTTTGTGCAATTCCATGGATCTCATCCCTTTCAGAAAAGCTTGATAAGCTCTACAGGCAAGGCAGACAGATGCTCATTTGATAGACTGGAAAGCAGAGCCCAGGGGGATTCTCAGGGTCATATGACTGGCATGTAAGGGAGCACTCTCTATCCATCCCTCACTCGCTCCTCTCTGAGGCCTGAGTGGTGCTTGAGCACCACCAGAGACCTCGCTGGGGCTGGCACAAGGTGTGAGAGCCCAGCTCACCCACAGGCTGGACTCTCCAGTGGACTGGAAGCCAGGTCCAGAGCCCTAAGTGCTGCTGGGTGGGGCCCTCACACCAGCTTCTGCCAGGCTGAGGATACCAGGGTTGTAGTTGGGTGGAAGGAGCAGGGGAGGCCCCAAAACAGCTTTTCATCTAGTGGATTTGGCTTCTCTGTTTTCACTCTTCACTTTGGAATTGGCCATGGTGCTTCTTGACTAATGGGACAGGTAATTAAGTTGATGTGGGCAGTCAAGGCAGCCCGAGCTGTTCTGGTGGCAACTGTCCAGCTATGGCCCTAACCCTAAGATCCCAGAGTGAGAAGAGTCAGTGCTTCCACACCCCGCTCTCCTCCCCTCTCTCCCTTTCCTCCCCACTGCCCTCACGGCCTCGTGTGACCATTAATCCTGATGTGTCAACTTCATTGGACTAAGAAATGCCTAATAGATAAGTGGAGCACCCTCCTGGGTCTGTCTAGGTGGGCCTTGGAGGCGTGACCTTGGGTCCTATGTCCGGTCCCTTTCCCTTTCTCTCTGGGACTGTTTCCCTGCTCTGCTTCCAGGCCACCACGAACTAACAAGTACCTTTGCTCTGCCATGCCCTTCCATCATGCTCCTGCCATGGAGTCAGCTAACCACAGACCGAGTCTCCTGAAACCATGAACAAAATTAAACCTCTCCTTCTTTAAGTTGTGGGAGTCAGGGATTGTATATGCAGGAAGAGAAAGCTGACTAAAGTACCTGGCCTCCTGCCCAGCCTAGGGGAGCCCTTGGTCCCTGCTTCCTTTCTTTTGCTTTTTGTACTGGGGATCCAACTCAGGACCTTCCACTTGTGAGGCAGGCAGCGGAACCACTGAGCTAAATCCCCGGCCCCCCTGCTTCCTTTCTTTTATGACAACCTCACAGTTGCAACTCAGCAAAGAGACCATAATCCGTGTCCCCTCCCTCACTGTTCAAAATAGAGAAAAAGTGTAAATAACTACTTTCTACCTTGTTTGAAAAAACAAAGTTCTTCTCTCATGGGGAAGAAAGAGCACAAACATCTTTCAGGTTTAGTGACCCCATTTTAATGGGTTTTGTTTTTGTTTTTGACAAAAATCTTACATGCAAATTCTTGGGGAGAGAACCTAGGCATACAAGCTAGAGCCCAGCTGAAGAATCCTGGTGGGGGAGCAAACTGGCTCCCCTAAGCTGGGCATGAGGCCATGTGCTTATGTAGGTCCGACACAATTCTAAACTGATGGGAACAGTACCCTCATTTTACAGATGATCAAACTGTGGCTCAGAGACATGAAGTAACTTTCTCAGAACCACATATTGTGTGGCTCATAGCTGGAGATACTGAAAACTTCAACCAGCTATCTGTCTAAGGCACTGCATTAGTGACCCTGGAGGCCCTGAGGAGGCAAATTAGAGAAAAAAATTTTCACTGGTGAACTAACTTATTTTCCTGGCGGGTTGAAAATATTTTTTAAACTATGTAGACTTGTACTCATTCCAAAAATCACTTGTAGTGGTGTACAGGAATTAAAAGACCATCTGGGGGTGTCACACCCTCCAAAGTGGTAGCCCCTGGGCTGGGCAGGGAACTGGTCTTATACAGCTGGTCGAAGCTGTCTGGAGGAACAAGCACTCATAGGTGTGTTTCCTGTGTATTTCTTAGTTGTGTTTCTGCCCCACAAGACTAAGCAGGTCTTAACGATTGGCCTTTGATGACCACTGTGGAAGAGAAAGGGCGGGTCTAACTGTGATGTGCAATCTTGGTACAGATCCAAAGGAGGTGACTGTGAGTCACGAATATGACTATATGAAAAGAAAAACAGTAAAGCAGAGAAAAAGAATAGCAGTTGTTCCTGAGGGGACAGGTTATAAGTGAATTTAATAGTATTGGATTTTCCCATTTTTTATTAGAAAAATAAGTGATTAATACCATCATGTTTTCACCATTTGCCTTGGGAATATAACTGAAGTTCTGGATCAAAAATGGTCTCTGTCTCTGATGATGAAAAGGAATAGGAGAAATTTGTTTTATATTGAAGTTCATCTTTCAATCCTAAAATTCTGGACCTTATCAATAGGCTAGGTATTGAAATTGGTTAATATTAGTAAGAAACTCATTAAAATATTAAAGTAGAAACTTTTTGCCATACACATTGAAGAAACTTCACTCATCTTCCTCTCCTTGCCAAGATTGTGCAGGAAGCTTCAGAATCAGATGTTCTGGTTCTAGCCAGATTCTTATGTGGCCCAGCAGTAACTTTGGTCAAGATACTTAACCCTGGGCCGGGGATGTAGCTCAGTGGCACAGTGCCTGCCTGGCAAGCCTGAGGCCCTGAGTTTAATTCCTGGAAAGGATACTTAACCTTCTGAGCTTTGGTTTTTCCCAGCTATGTTATGAAGAAAATAATACCTATGTTATAGTGTTCCCATAGAGATTTATTAGCATATATAAACTTACCAAAGCACAGAGTTGGGAACTTTACACAAAAGTGGTCAGTAGTTCGGAGCTATTGTTATTATCATGGGGCAAGTGGGTGTCTGAAACCTCTTTCCACTCAAGCCATTTTCCAAGCCACACTTTAGCACAAAAGCATCAACAGAGCATATGCATCCAAGCACTACCTGATAGGCACTATGCTAAGACTTACACAAGTTAACCCATTATGACTAATAGACTAGAAACTGCTATTAAAATATGCTTCAGTCCTCCAGGAAACAGATTAACAAGGTATAAACATCATGACTCTCTGAGGCCAATCAAAGGTTTCTATGTGTGGATAGCAACAGCTTTAAGAAAACACATCAATTTCACTGACTCTGGATTTACTTTGCAGGTCGACCTGACAGATTCTACTGATAATTTAGACATGTGTACAGATACATTCAGACACAGTATGTCTAGAAACCTGTAGTACCACACCATCTGCAATCACAAAGGACTGAATGTCCCACCTAGCCATTTTCTGTTTGTTGTAGGGCCAGTGTTGTCATAGCATGTCCTACAGTTAAAAGTTTGTGAAACTTTCCAAGAGTGCACATTTGCACACATTTGTGTGTATGTGTGAGACAGAGAGAGAGAGACAGAGAGAGAGAGAGAGAGAAACTGAGACAGAGAGAGTTGGGGGAAGTCTGAGAGGGCTGCCCAGTCCATGCAGTGAAGTAGGCAGAGCCAGGCCCTCCCATCATTCAGAACACCAGTTTCATGAGCCAGGAAGTCGGTGCCTCAGCCAGCTGGGCACCTCCAGTACAGAGCCCACTCAGTTGTAGTAAGAACTGTTTGTTGGGATCTGGTGCCTCCAACCCTGAGACTCCATGGCCTCTGAGTGAAAATGATCAGAACAAAGCCTGACTAGTTAAGATTTTCTCCACTGTGGCTGCCTGCCAAGTGGTAAGATGAAAATACCCAGTGCCAGTGTCTTAGGACAGCCCCTGTTTAGCCTTATTTCTACCCACCCCCCCAACACACATACACTGCGTAGGGAGCAGCAGAGAACCTGATCAGGGGCTGAGATAGTCAGCAAGATGGCCCTGGTCAAAGTATCATTTGCAGAACTATCTCTTTCTGGCTTTCTTTTGTTTTGTTTTGCTCTGCTTTTTGAGACAAGAATTCACGACTAAGTAGTTCAGGCCAGCCTTAAACTCACTATGCAGCCCAGGTCAGGCCTCAAACTCTCGGCCATCTTCCTACCTCAGCCTCCCCAGTGCTGGGATTACCACCACACCTGGCTCTTCCTCACTTTCAAATGGTCGTTTCTGAAGGTTTATTAGTTGGGCTACCATTTGAGCCATCATTTGGGTTCACCCATGGCCATTTATTTCTACTAAATATATAAAATGAGGCACTTTAAGTGGAACTTTGAAATCAGGTGCAACATTTGTTAAAAAATAAGCAGGCCAAACTATCCATACTTAGCCTTTGGTGTTTTTCCTGACCACAAGCTGGAGGCAAGTGGCAAATGTTTAGGTCTGATGGACACTGGCCTCGCTGTGTGGCCTGATCACTGCAGGGGATCAGCAGGTCAGCCAGCAGCCCAGCCTCTGTTTCTACTCTCTGCTCCAGATCTGTAACCTCAGACTGCCCTGTCTGTGCAAAGGTATTTAGCGAGGAGCACATTAGGCCAGGCATCACGCAGGCACTGGGACCCAGGGTGGACAGGATGATCCATGCCCTGGGGAGCTTAAGTCTAGCAGACCAAGAAAGAAAAAGCTGGAGATTTCTGTTATATCCCTGCCCCCACCCCTGGGGATCTGATCTTGAGCGGATGCTCTGTCCTGCAAGTGAGATGCACACACACAAGGAAGACCTGGAGGAACTAGCAGTGGTAGTGAACTTATGGCACACATATCTCCATGGGCTGTTTGTATCTTTGAAGGCTCTAAAATGTTCACCATCTCTGAGGAGTGCCTCTGAAGTCTAAGGGCCTAGTCAGAGTAAAATG